TAAAGTTAGGATCTTTCTTGTGTTTTGGTTTGTGTAAGAAGTTGGTGAGGAAGAAGAGCTCTAAGAAAGGCTTAAGAGGGTGATAAAGAGTGGTTGTTGGTCTACAAAGGTAACACATTCTATACATAACCTATTTTCTTACCTATATGATGATTATTGGCTTCTATTTGATGTTCTTGGTGTGATTTGTGAGATTTGATGCATGATCTTGTGATGATACATGTTTAGAGCTTGTATTTAGGCTTCTTGAATGCCATTGCTTGGCTATTTCTTGGGTTCAAGTCATATCGTTGTTGTGTGTGAGATTTTGGGTGTTTTGGACTTGAACTTGGCTTTGTTGATGAATTTCCCCAAAGGGAAAAATTGGTGTACAGGCGGTACCCCGCGGGCAGTGGCCTACCCGCCGCCCCACCCGCGAGGAACAGGTGTGAATTGTGGGGCATATCCCGCGGGCAGACCCACGGGTGGGGGTCTACTTGTGGCCCCACCTGCGGGGTACAATGTTGGATAAGACAGAGATTTGTTCCCCGTGATTCTTTCTTCTCGGTATTGATGTTTTGACCTTCCGTTGTTGATTTATTGGACTATTTGTGAGTCTTCTTGATGTTTCGTAGGTCTAGAACGGTGTGTTAGGAATCCATGTAGGATTTGGTGTCTTGAATCGTGCTAAGGGTCTAACTTTGTGATTCGTTGGGCTAATATGACTCTTGAAGGTTCGTTGGAACCATTTTCGTTTACTTGTTTAATGAGCATACTAGTTTGATGTTGTTATGCTAGTATGTACGGTTTGTTCCTTCTTGATTGTGGGTTGACAACTCGCGCTGTCAATCATTTGATGTTGAATTGTAGTCCTTGATTGTTGAGTATTGTCTCATGACTTCGTTGAAATCTATTGATTGATTCATATGGTGTATTCTTGTACAAATTGTTGTACCCTTTGTTGATGCTTGATTGAGGTTATTGATGAGCCTTAATCCTCTTGGTGATAATGACCGTGTGTGACTATGAATGAGATTGGTGGTTTTGAGACTTGAGCTTTGCTCACATGAGATCGGTGGTATATGACTATGAATTGAACAGTATCCTCGTGTACTTGAGATCGGTGGTCTTCTGATTGGTGGTGTAGATTGGTGGGGAACGACGGTCCCAGACCGGGAAAATGTTAGACTCAGAAGTATAGGGCGGCACTCGGAGGTACAGGTTGGAACTGTGATTAAGCCAGGGGTAGACATAAGGGTGGTACTAGGGGATAAGGTTAGAACTTGAAACATGAATGTGTCATTATGTGATTTGTTATACTTGCTTGCTTTTGCATGTTTTGATGTACTCTACCTTGTGAATGGTAGGTTACATCCTGTGTTGTGTTGTCTATGATGTTTGTGGTCTTGTTTTTGTGTTGAGGTTGATGATCCTCGTTCTTATTGAGAGCGTGATGAGTCTTTGATGTTGAATTCCTTCCTTGGTTTTAAAATGATATATACTGTATTCCTCAGTTCCAAATGGCTTTGATTATATCTATCTATACTATGCTATTTTACGCGTATTGATGGGTTACCAGCATTATTTGCTGACCTGGTGTTATCCCTTAATTTTACAGGTTTTGCTTAGTTGTGGAGCGCGCTAGCCGTTGTTAGTAGCTAGTGTAGTTTTCCCCTTCCCTAAACTGTTATGTTTTGGGCCTGTGAGCCTTAGTTGTAGACATGGCCTGTGTGCCTTAGACTTGATATTGTTTTGATGAATAGCTGTAGACTTAGCCTGTGCACCTATGGTTTATGGGTGTGGCATAACGCTTCCCGGTTTTTAATTAGCTTCCGCTTTTGATTGCTTGATGATTAGATGTTTATTGTTGAATTTAAGTTTTTAAAAATGTGGTAAAATCTGGGGGGTTACAGTTAGTATCAGAGCCTAGGTTTGAGCCTAGGATGTTAAGAATTGATCTTTAAGAAGCTAAGTGTGATTTAAGACCCTAAGTTGACCTTTAAGTGCCTAAGTGTTAGGATTTAAGATTCTTAGGACGCGCGGTGAGCTATGAGTTTGTTTATCGTTTGCACTGTTTATCCTGTTGTTCTTGTTTAGTTTTGGCTTCCTCGTCTTTAGCGCCGGGTAAGGGTGCGCATCTCTTTTGAGCCGTACCGTAACTGTGTTGTTTCTGTAGAGTCTCGCCATGGCTCCACCTCGTCATCGTGCCCGTACCCCCGAGACGCCGACCAACGAGCAGCTGGCTTAGAACCTGCAGCATCTAACCCAAACGATGCGGACGTTGAGCGACGCCCTCTTGCACAACAACAACCCTCCTCCACCGCCGCCTGCCGGGAATCGAGATGTGGGTCGCTTAGTTTCGGGGCATAGGCCACCCGTCTTTGCTGGAGAAGAGGACCCTGTCCTGCTTGAGGAGTAGATCAGGTCCCTGGAGAAGATTTTCGCTGTTGTTGGTTGTCCAGATGATCGCCAAGTCGAGTTGGCTTCATTTTTCTTTAGTCACGAGGCCGACCTCTGGTGGGTGCATGAAGGCCCGGCGTGCCAAGAAGAGCCTGGATTCGATTGGTAAGCTTTAAAGGATAAGTTAAGAGAGAGGTTCTACCCGTCGCACGTTAGAGCGACCATGTACGAAGAGTTCTTGCATCTTCAACCAGGGTCGTTGACTGTGGTGGAATACCACAAACGCTTCATCAAGTTGAATCACTTTGCGCGGATGTTGGTTCCCACCGAGTTGGCAAAGGTGGAGAAGTTCGTTGCGGGGCTCAACTACGAAGCCAGGAAAGCTTTGACTGTGATCAAGCCTAGGACGGTTAATGAGGCCTATCTGAGTGCAGCTGACCTGTACCGAGTGCAACAGCTTCAAAGAGGATCCTTTGAGTTGGCTAGGAAGAGAGGCGAAGGGAGTGGATCTCAAAGTTTCAAGAAGCCGAGACAAGATTTCAGAGCAAGACCCGCACCTCCTCAATCTCAAGGTTCGACTCGGGTTAAAAGTGGGGAAAAAGAGAAGCCCTTTGGTTGTAGGAGATGTGGTAAGAAGCACATCGGGAAGGATTGTCAAGGTAATCTGCTCCAGTACTTCAAGTGTGGTAGGAAAGGCCACAAGGCTTTTGAGTGTCATCTCCAGTCTGGTCAGGGAGCCTTGCATCTAGCACGAGACCCAGCGGACCGTCAGGAGGGAGTTCTGGTCGTGGCTCGGGTGGGACGAAGCCTTCGGGCAGGGTGTTTGTGATGAGCAGATCGCAGGCTGAGGCCGAAGGTATCCTTCTTGAGCCTACCTTTTACCTTGAGCTGTACCTTTTGTGTGATTCTCCTTGTTACATTTCTTTGAGTGAATTATTCCTTGTGGTTTGATTGTTTCTCTTGAGTTGCTAACCTTGTCCTAGATCCCGAGGTTTAAATAAATAAATAAATAAATAAATAAATAAATATATAAATATATAAATATATATATATATATATATATATATATATATATATATATATATATATATATATATATATATATATATATATATATATATATATATATATATATATATATATATATATATATATATATATATATATATATATATATATATATATATATATATATATATATATATAGGCTTCGAATCCGGTGCAACCCCTATGATACATGAGATCTCATGATATCCATTGATTCATTTTCCATGGATGGTTGAGATTGGAAGATTATTTTAAACTAATTATGGACATTTTTAAAACAGAACGATTAAAAAGTAATTCTAGTATTGAGTTTATTTTTGGTTAGTATTAAATTGTAACTTGAGCATAATATTAGGTAGAATATTAAAGGTAATAACGAGTAATAATTTGTATTGAGAGCTGATATTTTTAGTTGATTATGTACGACGGTGTGTGCGCGTATGTAGTATGGCGTGTGCAAATCGTATGGATGAGTTTTTTTCTTGGTAATTTTACGAAAATAGTTTATATGTATGTGCGTGAATTTTTGTATATGGGTTGATTTTAAAGAAGAAGATTGTAAGAGTAGTACGTGTATTTTTTTTGTTGTTTGTTTTTTTTTTTGGACACCGGAGATGAACTTACGGAGGTGTGCGAATATGTACTCCGGCGTGTGCAAAGCTTAGGGATGGGAGCATTGTTTTTTTTTTTAAAACAAAAACCAAACATTAATAATAGGCGTGTATGTGCAATAGCGGGTGCGGATTATTTAAAAGCGGTCTTGACATGACGGTGTTATTATAATTTTGTTTTTATCCATTGAATTTGGATTTTGGGTAAAAGTAATTGTTACTAAGTGTGACCATGAATGATCCACCTTTTTTTTATATACTAAAACTTAATTTAAGAATGCAGAACGCAATTCTCTCTCTAGTTTCGTTCTAGGGTTTTTGCGTTTCCTACTAGGGTTTCCTAGGTTTTCAACGGAGATCGGTTCTTTCTGTCCGGAGACGTTGCTATGAATGACGGATTGATCGGGAATGAGGAGAGGACGAATGCTGAGGGTGATCGATTCGGTGAAAGGCTGTCGGACGGGCCTATGATGCGCCGAAGGAGGGAGGTTTGTCATAATGAGGGCTTGTTTACGGAGAATATGCAGCAAGAGGGAAGGGGTAGGGGTACTGACGGTGGGCGGCGTATGCATGAGGCGGTGATGTTGGCAGATTAGTTGGCAAAAGGGGGAGGGGGGTGATGTTGGAGGTTTGGTTGGCAGAAGGGGGGGCGGTGATGTTGGAAGCTTGGTTGGCAGAAGGGGGGCGGGATTGTGGGTAATTTGGATGGCAGAAGGGGGGAAATAATTTGGGCAGTATGGATGGTGGATGGGAGGGCGGTGATGAGGGCAGTATGGATGGCAGATTAGAGGGCGAGGGTGTGGGCGGTTTGAATGGAACGGGTATTGGCAGTAGGGGGCAGCGAGGGGGGGAGGAGGGGGGGGGGGGGGGGCTGTAAGGCAGTCGGGGGTGGGGGTGGATGTGGCGGAGTTGACGGATAGGTGGGCGGATTGGGCACTGCTGGAGGAGGAGGGTGCGGTGTTTATGCCGGAAGGAGACGATACCGGTGTAGAGGGTGGTGGAGAAGGTGAGGAGGAGACAAGGAGGGTTGTCGGACGATTTTTGACGCAAAAGTTGATAAAACTGGATTTTATGAGGCAGGTGTTAGCATCAGTCTGGCAACCGGTGCATGGGGTACAGGTAACGGAGATCCAAAGGGGTTTGTTCTTGTTTGTTTTTTTCCACAAAACTGATATGGATTATGTTCTCAATGGGGGTCCCTGGGCTTTTGAAAATAATGCACTTGTGTGTCGGGAGGTGAAAGACGGGGTGAATCCAGTGGATGTGGAGCTAGATATGATTGATATGTGGGTACAGCTGCATGACATGCCAAAGGGGTACACGTCTCATGCAATTCTGGAACAGGCAGGGAATTTTTTGGGCTCTTTTGTTAAGCATGATGAGAGATTTGAAGGGGCGCCATGGTTAACTTTTCACCGTATTCGGGTGTCAATTTCGGTTGATAGGCCGCTTAGAAGGAGGATGAGGTTGATGAAGAGAGGTGGGACTACGGTATGGGTCAATTTTAGGTATGAACGGCTGCATAAGTTTTGCTACTTTTGTGGTTGTATGGGGCACTTGCATACTTTCTGCATACACGCGAGGGAGGCTGGAATTCTTGTCGAAAGGTACCTGTACGGTCCGGATATGCGAGTTGGTGGGTCCCGGAGCGCTCCTAGAGCGGTTGGGGATAGCTGGCTTGTGCCGGTTGGCGGGAAACCACGACCACTGGGAGTCAAGCCACGTGTTGTTGGGTCAGTGGATGGGGGACAGGGAAATGGGGGTGTCACACCCATGAGTATGTCTGAGGATGAGGTGGTGGTGGCTACGGCGAAGCGTCGTAGGCATGGGACGGAGGGGGGAGAGGATAGTGGAAATGATGAGGTAACAATCGCTGCTGTTTCAAAAAACTTGTCCATGGCGGGAGCTGGTGCCCAGCCCCGCCCATCATCATGAGTACTTTGAGCTGGAACTGTCGTGGCTTGGGCAATCCACGCACAGTTCGACAGATTGTGGGCCTAGCGTCCAGTAAGAAGCTTGATTTTGTGTTTTAGATGGAGACAAAGGTGCCACGGGTACATGCAGAACGGATCCGTGTTACGCTTGGGTATGCGGGTTTGTTTTATGTTGATAACGATGGATTGAGTGGAGGAATGACGCTTTTATGGAAGAAGAATAATACGGTAAGACTATTAAGCTACTCGCAGAGTCATATTGATGTGGAAGTAAGCTTGTTTAATAAGTTATGGCGCATGACATGTATCTATGGTATCCCCGAACGAAATAGGTGGGAGGAGACATGGGATTTACTTCGCACTCTGAAGGATAGATCCTTGTTGCCCTGGGTGGTGATAGGGGACTTTAATAATCTTCTATATCAGCCTGAGAAGAAGGGGGGAAATCCGTATCCTAATAGTCTGTTACGGGGTTTCGGGGATGCTGTGGATGACTGTGGTTTGATGCAAATGCCAAGGAGAGGCCACCAATATACGTGGCAAAAGGGAAAGGGGACGCCGAATTGGATAGAGGAAAGGTTGGACAAGGCTCTAATAACGAATGATTGGGGTTTGATGAATGAGAATGCATGGTTAGAGAACATTCGAACCCGGGCTTCGGATCACTCGATCCTTTTCCTCAGTATTAATGCGATTTGCATGCCAAGGGGAAGGGGGCCGCGGAGATTCAGGTTTGAGATGGCTTGGCTGTTAGATGAGGGGTGCAAAGAAGTAGTAGAAACGGTCTGGCATGAGGGGAAAACGGAGGGATTGCTGCAGTGTCAGCAGTTGTGTGGGGAGAAGTTAATGCGGTGGGGGGGAGACCAGTTTCATAAATTCGGAAAATGAATTAACCAGCTATAGCAGAGGCAAGATGCCATACGGAATAGGCGAGATTTGGTGGCACTAGCTGAGTACCAGCAGATTGAGAATTCCCTGAAACGAATAAAGGCCCAGGAGGATGTGTTCTGGAGGCAGCGAGCCAAGCAGTACTGGCTACGCGGGGCTGACGCAAACACAAAATTCTATCACAAGTATGCCTCTGCACGTAGGAAAAAGAATTTTATTTCTAGTATTAAATGTGATGCTGGTAACTGGGTGGAGGGGGATGATATGCATTCCACTATACTGAATTACTTTGACAATATTTTTGCCTCTAATGGATTGAGCTGTGATGATCCGCTATTTGGGGTCCTAACCCCACGAGTCACATTAGAACAGAGTATGATGCTAGACCGCCCTTTTGAAACTGATGAGGTTAAAGAGGCTCTTTTTTCAATGTATCCGGATAAGGCACCGGGTCCGGATGGGTTAAACCCGGGTTTCTACCAGCAGTTTTGGGAGATAGTGGGAGGAGATGTATTTGGCTTTATAACGAATGCGTTGAATTCCTGTGTATTCCCCGAGGGATTAAATGATACTAACATTGTTTTGATCCCTAAGAAAGAGATGCCTGAGACAGTTGCAGATTTAAGGCCGATTGCGTTGAATAATGTCATTTACAGAGTTATGGCCAAGATGATAGCAAATAGGATGAAAACACTAATGGGAGGATTAATATCAGAATCCCAGAGTGCTTTTATCCCGAGAAGGCTAATCACTGACAACATCTTGGTAGCGGCAGAGGTGGGGCATTATCTGAATAGAAAGCAGTGTGGTGTAGTGGGTTGGGGTGCATTGAAGCTAGATATGTCAAAGGCCTATGACAGAATGGAGTGGAACTTTCTAGAAAGGATGCTGACTGTTATGGGTTTTAGTGAGAAGTGGATAAAGCTCATTATGCTGTGTGTAACGACTGTTAGTTATACTGTAATGGTCAATGGTATAGCAGGGGGGCGTGTAAAACCAACCAGGGGACTTAGGCAGGGAAACCCTCTCTCTCCGTATCTATTTATTATTTGTGCAGAGGCTCTCTCGATGATATTACAGTATGAACAGTTGGCAGGCTCTATACATGGATGCAGAGTAGCAAGGGGGGCACCGCCTGTATCACATTTATTTTTTGCGGATGATAGTCTCCTATTTTTTAAAGCAAATATCCCGGAAGCGGGAGTTATAAGGCAGTGCCTTGCAAGGTATGAGAAATTGTCAGGCCAGGTGGTGAATTATAATAAATCTAATATATGTTTTAGCAGAAATACCCAGGAGAATGACAGGGCACAGGTAGCGGATTGTCTGGGGGTGGTGCAAGCACCCAATTTTGGGAAATATTTGGGCCTACCTTCCTTTGTAGGGAGAAATAAGAGAGCTGTTTTTTTCATATGTGGAGGAGAGGATCAGGCAACGAATTGGTTCGTGGAGTAAAAAGTTACTTTCTCAGGCTGGTAAGGAAGTATTGTTGAAAAGTGTAGCGCAATCTATGCCTACCTATTCAATGAGCGTCCTTTTGTTACCTGAGACAGTTTGTCAGTCAATTGAGCGAACTATGAATAAGTATTGGTGGGGGAATGGAAGAGACAGGGGAATACATTGGAAGGCTTGGGACAGGTTGTACATACCAAAAAAGTATGGTGGTATGGGTTTTAAACAGCTAAGGGCTTTTAATCTAGCTATGCTGGGAAAACAGGCATGGCGTTTTTTGACGGACCCAGGAACACTCGCAGCTAAAATCTATAAGGCAAGGTATTATCCCACAACCAGTTTTACAGATGCAACTATTGGCAATTGCCCAAGTTACTGTTGGAGAAGTATAATGGCAGCCCATGCAATGGTAGTCTCAGGGGTGCGAAGGAGGATTGGGAATGGACAGACAACTTTAATATGGGGGCATCCGTGGTTACGAGATAATCCTAGCCCATTGATTCAAACAGAAATGCCAGAACAATTGAGGGAGGCACGGGTTGCAGGATTAATTGATTTACAGACTCATACCTGGGATCCACATATTTTATCTGACTTGTTTATTCCTGAGGATGTGGAGCGAATAAATATGATCCCTATTAGTCCTGATTACGAAGACTCATGGTATTGGATGAGTGACCCAAAGGGGACATATACAGTCAAGAATGCCTATAGACGTATTGTGGGTGACTATGAAAATAATCCCGCGATTTTCAATAAATGGATTACAATGTGGAAAGTAAAAGTCCCCCCAAATGGAAAACTTTCTTGTGGAGAGCCATATGTGACATTTTGCCAACAACCATTAACTTGATATTTAAAAGGGTGGAGGTGGACCCAACATGCCCAATGTGTGGTTTAGATCATGAAGATGTGTTACATGCTTTAGTGCTCTGTGAATATTCTAGACTTGTATGGAATATAACACAATTGCCTATCACTAATATTATTGCAGACTCTTTTACAACATGGTTAAAAGGGGCTATGGAGGTCTTGATGGAGGAGCAGGCCCAGTTGATGGTAGCAATATTATATTATATCTGGAGAGCCCGGAATTCAGCTGTCTGGAAGGGATCAATGACGCGGCCTGTCCAGTTAGCCAGAGCAGCAATCGTAGCGCTACAGGCATACGGCGCTGCCCAGGCCAGCCGTACCGAGTCGGCAGCGGCTTCGGAGCATTTAACCGAACCAAGGGAGGGCAGTCTACGGTGTTATGTGGACGCGGGTTACCGACACGACACAGGCGAGGCTACGTACGGCATGTTGATTATAGCGCCAGATGACTCTTTTGTGGCAGCAAGGAATGGCAAATTACCGATTTTTTTTCACCACTTATGGCGGAGGCCCAGGCATACAAGGAAGCACTGTCCTGGTTACTTGAACGGAACAACACATCAGTAAGTTTACTCACGGATTGCATGGAATTGACTACGATTATCCGGCACCAACACACGCCGATCCATTCGTACGTTGGGGTCACAATTGACCAATGCAGAACACTTATGTCTTTATTTAATCGACCAGGACTATGTGGTCTAATGGTATCCGGGTTGGACTTCCATTTGGAAGGTTGTGAGTTTGAGCCTCGGTGGAGGCATTATTGGTTCTTTGTGTTTCAGTAGGTTGAGAAAGTATATGAACAGATACTACAATGTAATAGAGCCAGTAGCATTCAAAAAAAAAATGTCTTTATTTAATCGTATTACTTTGGATTACATCTCTAGACAGGTTAATTTACATGCGCATACTTTAGCTTCGTTAGCTTTTACACAGGATCAATCTATGTACTGGGATGCTATCCCACCTGGCGCTATTTCGGCTTTGATTCATTAATACAATCGCAAGATTGACCTTCAAAAAAAAAATTTAAGAATGCAGAAGCAATGTAAAATAATTATTTTACGTTGGTGTGTGCAAATTCTGTGGATGGGGGTTATTTTGTTTTTTATTTTTTTTACGCAAATATTTTTTATGTATGTGTGTAAATTCATGTTGTTAGTTTGTTTTTTAAGAAGAAGATTGTAAGAGTACTATGTGTTGTTTATTTTTTTTAGTTCACCGGAGTTGTAACTTACGGTGATCTGTGCGATTTTGTGCTTTGGCATGTGCAAAGGTGCGCGTATATGTGTAATAGCGTGTGCGAGTTATTGTAATGCGGTCTAGGAATGACGGTGTTATAACAATGTTTTTAATTTTTTTTTTATTTTGGGTTTTGTATTAAAATAATTAGTATTCAGAGTGAGCACGAATGAATAACGTTTTACGTTATGTTAAAATTTATTTTAAAAATACAAAAGCAATGGGCGTGTTAGTTTGACGAAAGTGTGTGTGTGCGTACTTGTGGAAAGGCGTGTGCATATTACAACGGGACGCATCGCTTTAACCGGAGCCGCACACGTCGGGCCATCAGACAACGTGGGCTCAGTAACAACATTCACTTTAGGACATTCTTGAAATGAAACAAAGAAATGAGGTAACCCAATGACAGATATAACTAGCAAACACCATAACAAAAAAAAAAAACAAAAAAAAAAAAAAACAGAATACTGCCGTGCACACGTACAAACATGAACAAGCACACAACACCCAAATAATCAATAAACGAACCCACAAATACAACTGCAACACACATCTATAATAACGAGTAAAATAACCAAATAATACAACAGCTATGCACAACTACAGTAACTCAAAAGCACATATAAACCACCAAAACACCAAAAAAAAAAAATAAAAATCATCAAAACACAGAAGTGCACACGAACAAATACAAACAAGCACATAACTTCAAAAAAATAAATACATGAACCGAAAAATAAAGCTTCTACACATAACAACAATAACCCGACTGCACACACGTTGAACGCCAAACACTAAAAGAACCAACCTCAGCTGGAGTAGCCACCTGTGTACAATCCGATGTAGGGCACCCACCCAGACCTGAAACAACATCACCAACGATATCAACACCATGCTCAGGCAACCCAACCTCGTCCGCCAAGGCCCCCACCACCAGCTTGTTCGACATATACACCCCCAACCCCCTGCAAGGGAACACACCGAATATATTACAACCAACACCACAAAAATAAGCAATATCCCACTTCAAACACCCAACTTATAACAAAAGGGACACAAAAGATTTACCTCATCCATAACATTACCAGAATCAGGCTCAGCAACCATACACTCTGCAACAATATTGTTAACCACTTCAGTAGTTGCATCTGGACCACTACCATAGACACCACCAACCGCAAAATCTTGGGTCAAGCCAAGGCTAAAAGACGGGATATCACTCAATCCTAGTGCCTGAACAATGTCCCGAAAGTCAGAATCCAACTCAAGCAGACGGGGCTGAATAGGACCATATACTTACGACAAACCTTCTCCTCCATAACCCTACCACGAGCCATCGCGAAGAACTCGGACAACCCACGAATAGAACCCGATAACACAGCAGTAACCTCACCCACCACACATTCAAAAGTCTAGGGGAACACAAACCAAACCACAAACATCAGCATGAAACAATAATGTACACCCAAATAGAAGACTGTGCGCAGTAGGCAAACACATGTGTGCACTGCCCTTAAAAAAAATTAACAAACCAACAACTAAACCTACCCATGTCCACAACGAACGAAATGTGCGTGCATCGGAAATCAAAATAAATGGGAAAATGAATAGATCACCCAACATAAACGACAAAAGAAAACAAAAAAAAAAAACAAAAAAAAAAATTACCTTGGGTCCAAATTCAGGATGATGCTCACCATCACCATCCGACCGCAACCCAACCATAGGTGGCTCAATCAACCCAACCCCAAATCCACCCCGGCTTATCTCCGCAGCCTCCCGGACAGCTAACAACTTAGACGTCCACCCCCGAAATGAAGGAACCAATCGAGGAATCGAACGCTTAAAAGGCAATACCCGGTCAACATAAAACAATTGAAATATAAACACAACAAACTAAGGCGAGATGCTAAACAAAAAACACCACACACACAAAGATAAAATATAACCATACCGCAATAAACTCAGCAGGCCCAACAAAGAACATATGCCGGCCAGATTTCCAAAAATCCTACGTCTAAACCAACGAATCCAAAAGCAACTTGCACCAATTTAGATCACGAATGCGACAGACATCATCAAAGCAATGGAAGTACATCTGATTCGCATAGCCATTGCTTATAGAAGAAACCAACGTGGATACCACCAACATAGCGAAATGCCTCTTAAACCATACCCCACCATCTACCTCCCCAATAACCTTATCCGCAATAAGGGACGCAGTCACCGTATGCCCAACCTTCTCAAACAACCCCCTCCAGTGTTTCAACAAGCTACTAATATGATGCTTGTCCCGCTTCACCATCTCGATACGTCCACGTGGAAACCCCAAGACCAACTCAACATCCCGCTCATTGACTGACACAGATCTACCGCCACCCAGGTCAAATGTCCTACTTTGCCCATCAAAATTACTTAACAACCAATGCAAAAGACGAGGAGGACACTCAGACACCTTGAAATCCAACAATGCCCCGAAACCCAAACTTCTAATATCATCCTTCTACTGCACCGACAAGTCCACAAGCGCATCAACAAAAGCCGCGGCCTGTGCCCGAAACTTAACACTAGGGAAATCTAATTCCTCTTCAGATGCATCCCCACCACCAAACCCCCCAAACGAAGCATCAACCTCAGGAACAACATCGGGGGCATTCCACAATGGGTCTTGTTCCATTCTCGCCAAAAAGGCCAAGGGCGGTGAAACAAAATCATCATTACTCGCAGAACACAAAGCCCCGCCAGGAGCACCCTGCACAACCTTCAACTTCTTACCTAACAAAGAAAAACAAACAAAACCACCCACGCACGTAACTGAATACCAGACGAGCACACAGTAAATGATAGCTATACACACATCTACAAACAAAGCCACGCACCACCCA